AGAAATATACCACTTGTTCTTTGGTATTTCAATCAGATTTTATCTGTTCAGTTCGAATTCTCTTGGTATTAAGGTATTTGTAGCTTACGCATTTAGGAATGGCTTGCTATAGTATAATGCAGTGGCTAGAAATTGTGCTGAATTCACAAAACGGGATTTCAACTTCCTCAGTTCTTCCACACACACTATAGTGATGCTGGACAACAAACGGTGCATTTTTTTCCAACCTAGATGTAATAACACTTCTTATAACAGGTCTTCAAAAACACTGCTTTGACACCGCGAAATCAGAATATTTGTTCTACCTTAAATTTAATGCTCCCGACCTAATAATTTATTTCATTCAACATTTTTCATAACTGCGGTTTTCAAAATCTTCTTAAATGTAGACTAAATAATTTCTTATTGAAATAAACTGTAATTGACTACATTGTTTCAATATTAGGGTAAATGATTGGTAATTTATTGAAACGTCAATACCTTTATAATTTGAGTACTTGATTTAACATGTGACGATCTTGAGTGGTCTTGCATTGAAAATTATTTCAAATTGTCAGTTAAATTTTATCAATTTACGTGAAACTGTATCAACAAATTTATTATTAGAACATGTAGCACGTGCTACTGAGAAAGATCTATGACTGGAAAATTTTGTGTAGTATCTTCTGCAACAGTCTTGAGTATTGGAACGTTGGATTAAATTGCAAATATAAGCAATGAAAGATCCTTGTGAACAAGGATAAAAGGCATGGAAGAAAGACAAAAGAAGCAGAGCACGAATAACTTCTGTAAATGTAAATCTCCATGTAATGTCGTTCAATTTTGCCACCACTGTCTATCATTTTTGTTTACCGAAAATGTACAGCTGTCTATCATTGAGTATTGACGAATAAACAAGTTTTCCGCCAAATAAAAGTGTGTTAATATGCGTGTGAAACTTGGACACTGTGGTAGTAGGTAATTCCATATTCATTTGTTTATTAGATATATCACACAATGATGAAACAGTATTACTTAGTGGACGACGTTTGTGTGATTGTAATTTATATGAATATGAACAATAAATTGTGTTTTTAACAGTAAATACTACTGTTTCATCACTGTGTAATATATGTAAAAAACAAATTGATATGAAATAAAAGTGTATTCCTGATGAGGCAGATCGCGGTAAGTGAGAAGAAACTGGACTGTCAGAATGCCCCAAACGATCTGGACTTCTTGCATGATTTACTTCAAATGTCACACAAACCTGAGGGTCTGTTGACGAAAGCCAAGAATTCGTTAGAACAGGCTGGTAGCAAAAGCAGGATTTTGACTAAACATAGAGGAGACAGAGTCATCAAAATACCTATCCGGCAACAACAACAACTACAACAACGCCAGACACCAATCACTGGCAAGAGAAGAAATTTGAAGTAAATCAATTCTTCCACATATTCAGGCAGCATCGTTTCAAATGTAGGTTGTGGATCGCATAAGAATGTTAGAGGAATCTGAGACCGGATAGAGAAAGCAAGAGAGACGTCGAATACACTGAAGTCAATATGGAGATCCACAGGTAAATAACTAAGATTCGAATTTTCAGCATTAATGTCAAGTCAATGCTTCTATATGATTTAGAGACTTGGCAGTGACGTTAAGGAAAGTAATTTCAGCAGGCTACTACACAGTTCTGCCAACACCCATCTTCGCCACTCTGATAGTGAAAACGAGATGGCTTACCGAAAAGGATAAGGAACTCTGTGAGTATCACTAGCCAGTCAACAATCCATTGTTAAATAAATATTACGAATGAAATGGAAATTTATTGGGGACCTGATAAGAAGACATTTAATTGACAGCACACTCCAGTCTGCGGAGTGGAACCCGAATAGGAAGCCGTGATTTTGGCTCCAGTGGTGGTATGAAGGGGATCACTTGAGTGGGAAATGAAGGACTGTAGGCAGCCACAGAGGGAGCTGAAAATGTCTGCAGAGAACCGAACATAACAGAAATTACGCGCTACAAATTACTGTCAGTAGTAGTCGATGCTTCACATGAGTCAAACCAGGACACTGGCGAAAAGGCAGCCCGGAGAGACTAAGAAAGCATTTCAGACAATATAATGTATTGTCTTCTTTTTGTCCAACTAAGCTTGAATTTTGAGGCGTAGTTGCGGGAGATATGTTGTATTCTAGACCATGAGTGAATGACCGAAGAGTCATTTATGGAACCAATGACGTTGTTACTTAAAAACATCCACAACATGAGTGTACAATGACTACGTAATCATAAATAGTCAAGTATAAAATCCCTATATGAGACGCGTTAAAATTGTTTTCAGACCTATTGAACAGTTCAGACTACTCACTAACAAGATGGAAACTGATAAAGGTAAAAGGAATGTTAAATTGTTAGCAAATAAATTAGAAGACAGTGAGATAAAACTCTTGTATGGGAAAATTTTGACGATACAGACCACTGCAGACCTAAATTAAAGGCGAAAAGTGCTACAGCTTTTGGGGAAAGCAGTTTTTCATAATTGGCTCATGAAGGACTTCAGCGAGATAGAAGCTTCTCTGAGCTGGCCGGTTAAACGACAGAGCTTTCCTCTTTTTCCTGTCGCACACTCCAGCATGAAGTGAACTTATTCGAATCCTTCATGAATAAAATAACTATCTGTCTTGACATCTTTGGTTGCGATTAGTTGTTAATTTGCACCAGTATAGATCGTTTTAGTGATTTGAAATTATGTTTTTCATGTGAATTATTCCTTATTAGCTGCTAAGTTTGCTCTTTGTTAATTTGTCTGTTGATCGCAGATTATTCTGAGTACCAGGCATCTAGATATTCCTTTCTTCCAATATATTAGGATTTATTTCTGTCTCATTTAGGGCACACCAAACTGAATGTTGCTGTCATAAAACAGATTTAACTCTCATTAAGATGTGTGAGAGTGGAAACCAAGCGAAGAATCTAAGGAAGCTATTCAGTCTAGCTCATTCTAATGTAAAATTCACAGTTGAATGTTAGATGTGGAAAGGAATAAAACTTTCACTCCAAGGGAATGAAAACTGCCTGACTTCATTTGAGTTTTCTCATAGACCTATTTGGATAAGTCGTTATTTACCGTCTAGTAGTTTCTGTCCCTTTTTGCACAAATGAAGTGTGGCCAAGACTTTGTTTTAACGGCTAAAATTAGGTTGTTTTCCAAAAAGTTAATAGAAATTGAAGTGGAGAAAATTTACAAAACATCGATGGAAAATGTACATATCCCATAAAGTTTATAGGAAAAGACAGACTGATTGGAAGAAACACTCTATTGAAGAGTGTGGTAGCTTGAATAAAGACGATGAGGTGGCTGCTTAAAAATAATTATTATCTCACTGCATGTATTGCATTCATCTGTTTTCCCACGAAGTTAACAGTAGTATGTAAAATAAACAATATGCTAAAGGAAACCAATCTGGTTGTGAGTTCCTCTCAGGATACCTCCACCTGTATCGACTCATTTATCTAAGCTTGAGAAAGCACAAACTTTGGAAAAACAGAGAGGATCCTTTCAAACAGAATTCGAACATTTGCAGGAAAGATTTTGGATGAGGACTTTAGGACTGTAAAGCGAAACTAATGTTTTAAGTCACACGAAATAGTAATAGTAGGTCGTCGTGCTATACACAGGCAGAAGGAACCTGTAGACTGAAACAAATAGTGAGTACAGAATGATTTTGCATTTCCTCGGTAATCTGTCGTTTTCATTTATTTACCATTCCGTAATTCAGTCTATCCTCCTTATTTTTAATCTGCGTAATTCCCCCAGGTTCCAAGTTGGATACAGAGCTTCAGCAGAACATAATCATTTCACTCTGTCTTCTACAGTCCGTTTTAGTTGCTTGCTCGATTTTGCACATGCTTTCATTTCCTCCTCACATAATCTCTTCCATATCACCATCGGACGACCATCTCATTGTCTCCCAACTGTGTTTCACTCGAGGGCGTAGCACATCATGCTACTCAACGAAAATGCTTTCCATCACGTGTGAATCAGAAAGAGGAACTGAATTGATTTTACTACTGACAATCTGAATCTTATACACCGCGCTGAGAATAGCAGATTTGTATGCTGAATTTAGGCAAATGAAGGTCTGTCATGCCTTTCGGATCCTACTTTTGACATCCCCGTCTGTGCCGCCTGTAGTCAGTATCAGGTTGCTCAGCCAAGTAAGTGAAAGATACGACTTCCATTGCTTTCCTCTAGCTAATGGTGATTGTTTGTTGTTGTTGAATGTGATGATGATCAGCTATCTTTCTCACCTCTATCTTCTCCATATTCACTTCGAAACCTATTTTCTCAAACTGCCTCTCCTGCAAAAATATTGTTTTTCGACTTTAAATCTCCGAGTTTATGTGACAGATATAAATCGTCAGCCAAGCTGAAATCTTCTAGTTTATTCATGGTTCAACTCATGCCAATCTTGTGACTCACCGAGATTGTTGCACGATTCAGTCCACCTCAGTCAGAACTACCATCAGTGATGGTAAGCATTCTTGTCTTACTCCCGTCTTTCCTTCAATGCTCATCATCATCATATAGCTGCTGGATGAAGTTGATCAAAGTTTGAGGGCACCCCGTAGTGCTGGAGCCGTTTCCAAGTTATTTCATCTTATCTTCTATTACTCTTGGATATTCATTGTCCTTTTAACATTTTCAGTTTATTTTAACCTTATTTTAGTTTTGAATCTCAGTAACCTTTTTGCTGTCTTACTATAATTTCACCCATCTCAATCATACCGCCTGTACTATTACTTATCTACCCAGTTCTGTATCAAATTCTCTACCGGCTTCACTTTTAATCATATTTTATCATCATAAATTTGAATATTTTGACAATGTCTTCAAAACAATATACATACATATAATTGTATATAATTATATTCGTATGCATATGTATGTATATGGTTATAAAAAACACTCAGTCTGATATTTCAAATACCCCATGTTATCACCACATAAATATAAATAATCATTTACACTAGCTACATGTACAATGATGAGTATATATTTTTAAAGGCTGACAGTTTGATGTAAAGTCCCTTATTTGTAATTGATTGGTGAATGATGTTAATTTATCGTTCAATATTTTGAAGAGTGCCTAGCTTAACCAATTAACAAGTCATGTCAAAAATTGACTTCATTGGTTACTTAAATGAAAGTAAAGTGCAAAATAAGCTTTTATGGAACTGATTCGCGTCAGTCAGTTTAGCTGGATATTTTAGATTCAAGCTTGTATGAGATTACAACATCCGGTACTGAGTTTTGTGGAGGCTATCTATACACTACTAATAAATAATATCGAGAAGTGCTACTGATCAGCCTTTACGAAAATGACGAAGAAATCCTCTAAGGCTTTAAAAGTTAGAGTAATCGCCCTACTGGTGTTTATGACAATAACTTTATATCTTTCTATTGAATTGTGCCTCTTTATTTCTGATCAGTATGTGTTTTACAGGTAAGTTCTATGATTATTACAATTTTATTTCCTAAAATATGACACCAATGATTTTAATGTGTTTATAATGCATGCACCATATTGTTATTAGTCAGTGTCAACAGTATTTGTTGTACAAGCTGTGAGTTCACAAAAACAACAATACACTGGATAAATATAACACAGTAGATGCAATGAACTTTAAATACTGTAGAAAATTTTTTTTAAATGAAGGTTTTTAATTTATTTAAGGTCATAGTAAATCAGGAAGTAAAACGAATTTCACGGGATTTCAGAAACGCTTTAGTCATAATTGCTAGTAAGCCGAAAGCCAGGGTCCAAGACTCCAATCAGAGTGATATCTGATGTCCAAAATCAGCAGAAAGAGGATCTTTATCATCATACTAGTGAGTGCGTTGCGGATTTGATTGACAAACTTTAATCGTTGGTTTCTTTTAATAACTACACTGGATCTTATATAGTGGAGAAGTGGTATATCTTTCTTTAAATAATTCCACTTGGTTATCATTGAACTGGAATATCTTCCTTTTGCCAAAAGCCTTGAAATATCTTCAAAATTGAACTACATAGCCAGTTATGTACAGGTATGTGTATTTCACCTAAACCGTAGTTTCAGAAAAGTAACAATTTTGTTTGTGATTAACATACCACAAATCAATATAAAATAAAAAGTTTGTGGAAGTGATATACTCTGTAATTTTGTTGTAGGCATTATTTGCAGAATGAAGTCAGTATGGATGCCGCCTTGAGAACTAAAATTGGCCATCGTTTGGCAATGCCTAACGAAGACCAAATAAAGATTAGAAACCGTTGTTATATTTTGCCAAAATATCACATTTCTTCAGTCGGTGCAGTGTCCAGTCATTTGTCGATGGTTGAATGTATACTACAGCCATGTTCTTTGTTTGACTATATGACTGTGGATAAGATTTTAATACCTACATGGCAGAATAATTGTAAAATAAGCAAAAATGATGGTTTATGCTTGATTCACAATGTCATATTTACTGTTAATTTCCAGCGCTGTCACTGAACAAGGACTACCTTACTATACACGAACACAAAGAGGGCGATACAAAACCCTGTGAGTTTAAATCAAATTGTTTTTATATACTGAAACGTTTTAAACACTTAAACCGCCAAACATGAAACACATTTAAGTTTGGTCAGAAAAAAAAGCAGATTTCCTCGATAAAGATTGACAATTTCATCTCTAGAAGATTTCGACAGATATTATTATGGAGTAGACAGTATCTTTCATCACAAAAGAGGTATGACTGGAGTGCTTACATTCTTGTTATACCTCAGTGGGGCACAGATCAGCTACGCTGTTGACTGTGGACAGGATAGTAATTAGTTCTTAAAACGTTTTTATTGTGAAAACTTGACTTCAGTAATATTAAACTGTAATACCTATGAAAATCGTCATATAGTACTAGTAAATGATTAGTCATGGAGATTATTCTTGCAAAAACTGAATTTTATGGATTTCAGGTATTTCTAAAAAATCCTAAATTTTAATTGTAACACTCTGTTGTTCTCTAAACATTATGAAAACATTAGTCAATTTGAATTTTTACAACTGAACTTCCTAAACTCGCACAACATGTTCAACTTTTTTAAAACGAATGATTAATTACTAGATATTGACAATATAGCGGTGAGAAAATATTGTATGAATATCGTAGACATTATTCATCACAGTACACATTTCACATTTAGCCCCCACCAAAGTCAGCCTTGTGTGATAAGAAAGTCACGAGAAGATTTCTCAGAGGTTGATCAGTGTAAACCACAACGACTTGTTTAATTTAATGTGCTTGTATCTACTAGTAGGAATTCAGCTTTCCCCTTGTGTTTTATGTGTATACTGCTGGTCGCCGGACTTGTTTAGTGTTAATGTGTATCATCATTTTTTTTCTACTACACAATAAAAGCCCGATGATCATGTAGTGAATCACATCCTCTTAGCATACTGAAGTTAACAAAAAAGACATACCCGAATTAATTTGATCGGTTATATGTGAATACATGGGTTCTTTGGACTGATAACTTGTCATTACCTTAATTTCCATTCATGAAACAAATCGCTGTCTTATATATTTCCAAATAAGAAAAGTGACGTTTTTAATCTGTAAAAGTCAAACTTGAATAACACTGAAAATGACAGATGATATTAGTAATAATAAAAATGGTTATTGAGTTTGGATTCTCTTATTCATAAAGGTTTTTGACCACATGTTCTCTTACTACTAATATTCTTACACATTCATTTCCATACAGTTCCACTGAAGACAAGCAAAAGTTGAAGTTAGCTCAGAAGAAGGCAGCAACCCTCGAATCAGCTACCAATTCTGTACGGATAACAATTGGACTCATCACCACTCTGGTTGTGGGTTATTTGTCTGACAGATTCGGTCGTCGAGTGGCTATTGGAGTATTACTAGTTGGTGAAACTCTCCATGTCGGCTTAGTCAGTAAGTGATGTATCCTATTATATTATTGTTTTATCACGAAACGAGTGACGATAGTGATTCTATAATTAATGGTTCAAACTTATCGGCAACTAGAGACCAGTTCATCTCTTAAGATATGTATACTTTTTAAGTGAATATTTTAAATCACCCTCAGTTATTCTGTAACTCAAAATAACTTGGGAACTGTTTATTCTTCCTTCACTCAGTTATTTTTTTCTCTTGATTCAGGTTTGATTGTATTGCTGAAATTGAATCTGTGGTTAGTAATATTACCGGGATTCTTTGAAGCTATTCTCGGTGGTGGTCTCTTATCACTGTTTGGTCAGGTTGCGGCTATACTTACTGACATTTGCAGACCAGAAAAAGAAGAAGAAAACAATACAAGTGCGAAAAAGATTCAGTCAGTTGACAGAGAACTATGGATATTATTCACAGTCTTTGATGGAATAGCAAGTTTGAGTATATCTGCAGGTTCACCAATAGGAGGTAATCATACAGGAATTTTTATTTTACTTACATGTTTAATTTAAGGAAAGGTTAGAGAACATTCTTTTTAGAGAATTCTCCACTTATTTCTTGTAAGGAAGTACTTCTAGCTGTCTGTAAAATTTTCATTAATTATGTGATTCTAAACTGCGAGAGCTGAAATGTCGTTTTAAAAGGTGAACAGAAATATTCTATCGAAAATTTAAAAAGATTTCAAATTGTGGTTGTATTTTCCCGAATAGACGACCAACTACTTTGTTTCAAGTTCCCTTTAGATATTATTATATGGTGTTTTGCATATACGAAATTATTCTGGTGGATTAGACAGTGGCATAATTTCACCGTTGGACATAACCTCTTAAAATCTCAGAATGTTCAAAACATCTTCTTTTGCATAAAAATATCCATCTGGTTAGTTATTATGTTTTATTTTAAGCCATTGAAAGATCTGTACACACCTCTTATAGTCTGGTTTCTTAAAGTGGATATATGTAGTACTTAAAATATGAAAACAAAACACGTAGATCAGCGAAGAGTCTCTTTTCGGCGAATTCATCTTCTTAGCTCTACAATCGCAAATATATATGCATTGTTTTGTATGTATGTGTACATTAAGTTTGTCAAACAAAGTTACAATCGGTTAAGGTTAATTTTAACTGAACAAGTGAAGGTTGGTAATACAGGTCAAGAAAATTAAGTGTTAGTGAAACTAGGGTAGTAACAAAGGTGATGAGTTGTCACAAACAGTTGTAATAATAATAGTGAGTTTTACTCAGGATGTACATAGAAACAAAGTAGAAATTATGTAAGAGATCTAAGTGGATACAAGAATCGCCCACTAATCTGCAGAAGCCTCAAGGACAAGATCCCGCATCTGGCCACTTCTATGTGCATATACCAGTTCACCTGCTGCTGTGGAGCCAGGTACATCGGTCGTTCGACGCGCATCCTGTCCAAGAGGATTCAAGAACACTATCCAGCATGGTTGCGAAAAGGCAATACTGGTGCAATAAGGAGTGCGATAATTGAACACCTGGTCAGCACTGATCATTGCATTTCAACGAACGCCTCCTTCAAAGTAATCTACCGAGTCAAGAACATGGCAAAGGCAATACGGTTTTGTCTCCTCTGTATCGCTGAAGCTCTAGCCATTCACATGGAAAAACCGGAGCTGTGCATACAAAAGAAGATTACTCAACCACTTCTACTCTCATGGTAACAATGTTTTGATTTTTTTGAGTTTTTATTTTTATTTTATTTTGAGAACTTAATTTTGTTTCTTTGCCTGTTCCTTAGTTGCTTATAATTCTTGTATTCACTTAGATCTCTTACGTACTTTCGTATTATCTACTTTGTTTCTATGTGCATCCTGAGTAAAACTCACTCATCAAAATATTCATATTATTATTGCATAACTTCTTTTAACAACTGTTTGTGACAACTCATCACCTTTGTTACTATCCTAGCACTTAATTGTCTTGACTTATATTACCAACCTTTACCTGTTTAGTTAAAATAACCTTAAGCAATTGTAATTCTTGTATCCACTTAGATCTCTTACATAATTTCTACTTTGTTTCTATGTACATCCTGAGTAAAACTCACTATTATTATTACAACTGTTTGTGACAACTCATCACCTTTGTTACTACCCTAGTTTCACTAACACTTAATTTTCTTGACCTGTATTACCAACCTTCACTTGTTCAGTTAAAATTAACCTTAACCGATTGTAACTTTGTTTGACAAACTTAATGTACACATACATACAAAACAATGCATATATATTTGCGATTGTAGAGCTAAGAAGATGAATTCGCCGAAAAGAGACTCTTCGCTGATCTACGTGTTTTGTTTTCATTAATGCCTGGATGGGGATTATTCATGACTTAAAATATGGTCATCGCCATCCATTTCTGAACCAACAAATCAAATGTAACATTAACTTGAATGATACTGTATTGCACTGATGGTTGACTTCCTGGCTTTGTATGTCTACAAATAATTAGTATGAAAATAGTGAGTATGAGCAAAGTATTTAAAACACTGTAATATAGTTAAAAGTTTTCAAAAAAGATATCGATAGAGGTAGAAATGAACTTTTGTTTTACTTCAAAGTACGGTCTTACTTTATCTCAGAGTAACCCAGTACAGACAAAATGTCGCTTTATTTTTATATGCTTCTTGGCGGTAAGCGTTGAAAGCATAGAAAAGACCACAAATCTGTTTGTTACACAATCTAAACTCAAACTTTTTTAAAGCGTAAAGACTTAGAAATGCTCCATGAAATGTTAGAATAATGACATGCAGAAAGGAGAATTAGATAACCACACACATCCAATACATATATATATATATATCCATACATATAATACGAAACTATCCTTAACCCTACAGCTTTGCACTGTTAAGTAGTCACCGTTTTGCTTTTCTCAACTAGTCGTAAGAATGAAAAAATGTACGGAACCTGTTGGTCCAACATTCATGTCACATTTTAAAGCTACCAAAGTCAACTTTTTAAGATGATGGCACTGGTTAAAAGATCATCCTAACGTTACAGTAAACGCTTTCATGGGAAGATTAATGTACTTGCTATTTACCAGAATAAATCAGTATACATCACATTGTGCGAAGTTTCTTATAGCTAACAGGGACATCACTTACCATCTTTTTGCTGACTCCTAAGTTTAACCGGTGTTCATTCACCATTTCGGCAGGACTAGTGGTTGACCGCGAATCAAAATCTGTTTGGTGTTCAGCTGTAATTGTAGGTAGGATCACTTTATTTATGTCTACCTATTCTGGACATCACTGGTGATGACTATTAAAGCGCAAGAAAAACCTGTTACATACTACAATACGATTCGGATCTAGGCTATAAAATAAATTTGTGCATTACAGCTATTGTACTGTTTTTCAAGATATATGTTGTAGAATAACTTTGTATGTTTTCTTTCAAATGATTGAGGTGTATTCATTTAACTGTTTGGTTACATATTTAGAACACTTAAGTTAGATCAAGTATTTTTCAGAGTTAAGATTATTTGGTTACAGGATTTCATCATGAGTTGACATTGGTTAGAGAACCATTGGAAAACCTGGGAGTACTGGACAGCTGTTTCGTCCTAGTTTGGGAGTCTTCAGCAATACGCACCCACCCCAACTGGGTTCGAACGCAGGACCTTCTGGTTACAAGGCGAGCTCGTATATCATTAAGCCACTGGGACCCGATCCAGTGGCCCATGAATTCTAACATCTGCCAATTCACGATATAGCGCAAACACTAGCCAATGTCTTCGGCGAGTATTTGTCCCCACACCCGACCTGCTTAGTTGCTTATTCAATACGCAGACAACAGTACTGTGCCACTTAGTTAGCTTTTAATTCTACTTATAAAGTGCTATAACACTTGGGGAATTACCCTAACAATAAAACAGCCTTCACTTTTTCACACTTTCACCCCTAGAAGTCATCTAGGGCAACAATGTAGCATTCAGTATAATTCACCAGAGCATCTACATATATGTCACATGAATATTTAATTTCACCACTGAAAAAGTCGTTTTGTCTTTTATAGGTGCACTGATCTATCGTTTCAGTTTCCAGGTAGCAGTGTTCACCTCGTTAGCTTTACTTGCTCCAAGCTTAATTTTGATATTTTGCCTACCTGAGACAAATATGAATAGAGGAAAGAAAATCGTCAAAGTTGATTCTGTTCCAGATATAAAAATTGATGGTTCCCTTGACGATACACGTAGCATACCAATGCAGTTTGACAAAAGCCTAAAAGGAAGAATTGCAGAAAAACTCCGAGTAAGTAACTTATGCTATTAATTGTCTTGAGTTACACATTCCTGTTACTTGATATTGTTTTCACTTTTTCAATGAAACAATGTATATATATACGTACATATATGTATAAGTAAGAGCCATGAACCCTAATTTACTTCACTTTATGTGCAACCTGAAGCTAAAAATAAGCGTAGAAAGAAATATTCAATAAGTTTGAAAGTTTCGTTTCCGGATATGTATAGCCCATTACCTTATACGTAACACTTGAAAAGTTTCGACTAGATTAAGTTATGCTCAAACTAAATATTCTAACAAAGCCAACTTATTCTGAACACTAGTTACTGTAATATTAATTTTGCAAACAATTCAGCAAGACTTGTTGATAATTTTCACCTAAAAAGATGAATCACAGTTTTATAACTTCATAACTTCAATATTGAGGATTCGCTTGAAAGCCACCATCAAACGCAGTCTTTTCTCTTTTAGTAAATTTAGTTTCATAATCAAGAATCTCTGCAAGAGTTGATTTGGAATTTTACACCGCATATATGTAAATACACTGTTTCATGATACAGGAATTGTTGCAGTAACATGAATAGCGAAACACTAGTATGATCTTACTTATTTTCATTTAAAAATCCTTTGTTTAGCTGGCTGATAAGCTACTTTACTCGCAATTGCAGTTTTAGGTGACATAATAACAAGACAATAAGGATTAATCAAACGAACTTTTAACGCCGGTTAATTGCGGATCCACATACCACTGTGATTCTGTGTCTGGAATATTAAATACCTAGGCTAACCACCTCTTCCGGTATCACGTCAATTGAACTATTCCTGTTTCTATGGAACTCATCAAATCGACCGCCGCCGTAGACATTCAATTCTTCGTGCTGATGAACACCCATCAGAGTGGCTAACTATAGGCACAGGATGAAGTGTTATTAGTATGATATACCCTCATCCGGTTCAAACAGACTATAAAGCCATCACTGAAGAATCCTGTCGCCTGTTGAATGCACTACCTACAGCCACCAGGTACCGAATATGCCAAAAAACATAAGCCATATCAGTTCTCTTGAAACGACGTAAACTTTACTGACAGAAGAAATGAGTCGCGCCACTAGTACTACTCTAACGTGTCATGTAATCTATACACTGACAATCACTACATTACGTCATACCTTTTAGGTATGGCGTTTAATCCTGCCCCTAATCTCTTATTCCTGATTTTTTCCAGGAGAAAGTGTGGTTCATTAACCGATGTATATTTCCTTTTGCGTTAACAAACTCTTATTTACTTGATTTACCCATAGTTAATCACTCATACACATACAGAGTGCTTCGGACCACTTTCGCACTAAGTTTTTGTTGTTATCGTTCATTCTAATGAGGTTGATTATCAGACCAAACAAGATTCAAGGCGAAAATGAGCATTCATGAGTATTTCCCACTATATATATTTATTGTAATTAATTATCATTTACTTCGATGAATGACGTTCTACTTAGTATCACACTGAATATTATCATATACACGTGTAGCGAAAGTATTGATTCAGACATCTAGAAAAAACAAAACAATTTGAGGAAAGAATATCCTTTTCGATAAAAGCCTCTTCCGGCTCTACAATTATATATATATATATATATATATGTTTATATACACAGAATATTCTACAATATTCATCATTAGCAATAGTAGTGTTTTTAAATACTGTCGATTTGAAATTACAGTTCACTAAAGATGCCTAAATTATGATAAGCATAAAAGTGTGAAATCAAATAGAATACCAAATAAAATTTAGGAAAATTTGCACAACAAATTGAGGATCATTAGAACCTTGATGACCGAGGTAAGGACAGTGTCTGAACCAACTTCTCTTAGATACATTAGTTAGGTTTCTTAATGTAGATCCGAACAGTCTCAGTAATGTCTAGTAGACGAACCCTTGAGATAGAATTGAGACTAGTTGATATGCGCCAGATGACTTTGAAAGCCTCATTAACAACATTTCATCAAATTTGGTTATTACAGTCCACGCTGTGTCTGACCAGTAATTTAGTTGAAAATATATAGGCCTGACCTAAAACCTAACTCTACACATTGTAATAGTAGTGTCTTTCGTACATTAGTAGAGGAGGATTTAGCGTTCGCGGGTAGTATGTCGTTAAAAACCTTGTATTTCCTAGTAATAATTGCCAGTCCGAAAATATTTTTGTCATAATCAGATATGTACGTAAACTAGTGGAAATTTCGAGGATATGTAGACCTGTACTTCTTGAGTCATTCTGAGTGGATGTCTTAAAATGAATTTCTCGGAGTAAACTAAAACAGAAGTATGGTAAACACTAAAAGGCAGGCAATTTTAACTTTCAGCAATTAGAATTGTGTATGTGTGTGTATTTTCAACATACTTGTATGCAAACTGAAGCATTGTAAAGTTACTGGTGCAGTTTACAAAACAAGGTAATGCACAATATTTATTATTGACAAAATAATCATTTGCCTCATACACGTTTTGCTGACAGTTCATAAACTTACAATAGAATTCTGTTGATTTTCATAAAGGTTGTGTATCTTAGATTAGAGAACCACTTGTAAACATTTTTTTATAAAATACATCTATTAATGAGATAGACTGATTACCTTTTGACACACTCAAGTGAATGATTTAGACATCTGTTGTTTAAATTAACTTCATGTGACAATCTTAAAGAACTCTATCACGGATTTTGTCCTCTGATGCATGCATTGCTAACCAATATTTTCAATGGAATGAAGTAGGCTTAGGAAGTTCCAAATATTTATACATTTACAAGTCAAACTAAGTATCACTGAGTTTGTAAGGTATGCTGAATGAACCCTTTTTAATAAGAGGTGAAATTTGAAAGAGAAAGTACTGTTTAAGTGACAATTAAATTATCACTGAATATTTAAGCATGAAGAAATGACAAAAGCGAGATTTTAGGTATTGAATTCAGATTTGAATTAAACTGTAGTTTCTGTATCCGTCATTTAGGTTCAAGTTGTAACACATAATAATAATTAAAAGGTGAAAATAATTTATTGATTTTAGGACTGAACGAAAACTAGGCAAAATATAGTCAGATTGGTCTCGTGTGAGAGACTTTAGCATTCCCATTCTGTCGGGAAACTTTTAGGTTGTTTGAAAAATTCTTCCTGAACGATCTAATCAAAGTATTTATACTTATTTGGACGTTTCAGCTAACTTTGTAACTATCATCCGTTTTCCTTTATATCATTGTCCTGATATTCGCACATTATATTGTTGACTTGATCCTAATTAGTCAACTTTGTTACCACTGAATCTGTCATTTTAATGGTGCTCTTAGTTGTTGCATGTACACTAATAATGTGTTGTACAATGCGATTTCGTTTGAGTGAATCGACGTCATTTTGATCTCGAAATATCTGTTAGAAGCATTGGTGTGTGATCCTTATGTACAGGGTTTTTGATTCAACCCTGCTGGGAATATTCTACCTGATCCTAAGGTACTTCTTACGGTTGAATTTTGGCTAACTAATCTTGTTCCACAGTACTTTTCTTGTGCTTAGAAACCTAAATTGCCTGTATAGACGCCTAACAGTACTGTTGAAGTAGTTTTCAGTTTTTGAAGCTATTACTGCTGAACAGAACCACACACAGATCCCAGTCACATACAGTCATCTTATGACTGTCTTCGGAGCGTTTTGTGAGTGACGGTGTTTCTCAAGGACGTTTATCACAGCTATACAGTAAGAGGCAAGAATCGATTCTCTGAGTTTAGACCACAACTCTATACAGGCTTTGTAGTCTCTCCAACATTAGATATTTACAGAGTCATCGTTTTTAGATGGTTACATCTGCCTCACTTTTGATCGCAGCTAGTTATTTAAGCCAAGTCATTCTTTGATTTATTTTAATCATATTTTTTTATAATTGATCAGCCTCTTCGCAACATGATTCTTCTCCTATTTCTTAGAACACAGCAGTGGTAACCTTATACATACATACAAAGCCACCTGTGTCAGTGAAACTGAATGGAAACTTGGGTAATACGTTCAGCATTTTATAAAAGTGTGCTACATTTTTACATTTTGGTGTAAATTCACATATTATTATTTATGCAAAAATATATTAGGACTTGAAGGGTTTAGATCCTGTTTTGGTCATTATTATGTCTGTGGTTCTCTTGGGTTCTATTTCGGCTCTGGCGGATTTACAATACGTCGCTGTGTATCTCATGGGCCCTCCTTTCCTATGGAGTCCAGAACGCGTTGGACTGTATTCGTAAGTGGATTTTTGTAATATTTTATAGTCAGCAACTGATTAAATGAGTGTTTTTTCTAAAAGCTCTTGAAAATTAAGGAAACTGAGTTACGTTTTTATAGTAATTCTATTTATAAAACTTGTTTTAATGTCCCGTATTATCCTGTGACCAATACATCATAAGAATATGCCTAATGCAGACTTGCTTGTTTTATTTTACGAACTCTTTATAGTTAGGCAATATGTAAAAAACACTGCTGTTCTGAAAGAACCCGGCCACCCATGCACCGGGTTCGGGGTTCGATCCTCGGCCGATGCACTCCTAAACCTCGCTTAGCTGGTACTAATGTCAGTAAAGAGGGAAGGTTGAGCGTGAGGCTAGCAACCTCACCCCGTAGAAAAGAATAACACCACTGCTATCGAAACTCCGAAGCTCTAGATTGGAGCTCTCTATGTTCCACTCAGAACATAAAGGAATGAAAAAGTTTCCCAACACTGTTTAACATATTTGTGGAAACTTAGTTCAAAATTAGTAGCTTCATGCCAACTGAATCCAAACAAACTAACCACTTGAAGTGATCATAAGAAAAAATTACTTTCAAAATAATTACAGTGACAAAAGTATACTGCTTACTGGGCTCTCCACTTATTCTTTATTTTTCAACTGCTAAATATCATGGACTAGTGGAATGAATCAGTGAAAAAGGCATTTATTTGATATTATTCACCGAATCGAAATAATAATTCATAGACAGTATTCTCTAAAACTATTATCGATTATTTATTTACAGTGGTATAACAGATGTTACAGCAGCTGTCATCTCAGTTGTATTCACTATTGTGATAATTAAATTGGATGAGAGGAAAAAAGCGCGTGCTAAAGCAAATGAAGCCAACAATGTCACAAACGAAAATACACAAGAAACTCAAAGAATAGAAAAGCATTACACTCGGCAAATGAATTTACTTGTTGTAGTACTTGCTATCTCACTGCTAATGCTAATAATAAATCGTACAGCTGTTGGTCTTGCTCACAAATTCCAGTTACCGACAGCAGATATAATAATTTATGTTGGTAAGTCACAAAAGGAATACTTTTTTTAGTGGTTTATGTAAAGAAAGCAGCTTTTACTTTCTGCTTATCCTTTGATTCGAATATTACTCCAACCAAAAGTGAAATTACTATCCAGCAGTTGGAAAACAAGACTATATATGCATATACTTCAGCATATCAAGTTCTTTTATCTGGTTTGAAACACGATATTAATATGAAAATCCTACAAATGTCCTTAAAATAATACATTTCAAAGACACCATGTGGTTAATACATTGTAGAGCCCTTAAAACCCATTGCTATATTTATTTCCCAGTATTGAAAAAATGTGATAGGACTTTAATGTCCAAAGTATTCGACTAACATCAAGCCCAGATGATATGAGTGAATTTCCTTACTATCAATTAATAATAGTTTGAAGGTATTTAACACAGTTTAATCCTGTAAGGCTTGACGTAGTTTCATACGAAATTATAAACCATGAATTTCAGCCTACGTAGATTAAGAGATGCGTCATGAAATTATGCTATAAATTAAGCAAGGCTGTGTAGCATGCAGGTATATGCACTAACATAGGTATTAACTCATTTGTATTGTAGACATTTTAAAATTCGAAAAACTGTGTGAGCTCGTTGAATTTACACGTTTCTGTGCCAATCTAGAATTTATTTCGTGACGCAGTTATGAGGTATACACGTAACGAGTTACTTTTTAAGGAATCAAAAATTATAAGACCACCTGATGTCACACCTATTTTTGACTGAAAACGCACATGATGTACGCATGTATGAATGTCTGCATGATACATGGCATCTATAAATTAAACATCTAAGCAAGTTATTCTGCCTAAGCTACTAAAAGAAGTTCGTATTAACCATAAGATCATAAAGTATTTTCATATTAGATGGTTGGAGGCAATCGGCAGGAAGCCTTGGACCTAGGTTTCGTGATAGCTGGCACTCGTCAGCAAGGCCTATCTGCAACCTTGAAGGAACTCATTTTCCTTCTGAGATTAGAACCAGAGTCACCTAGGTCCAAGGCTTCCTGCCGATTGCCTCCAACCATCTAATATCATCACAAACAATGTACACCGTGATGGCAAGCTACCTAGAATGGTGGCCACATTACAACCTGACTGATAGAATTCAGTCTGCACCAAAGAGAGGACTAGACGCATCACACTAGTTACTAGTGTCAAATCAAAGTATTTTCAAGATAATCTAATTCGATACCCTGTGTTACTTGTCGAACGGTCATCTTTTACTCTATTTTGTTGTACAAGTTTGATTGTTCAGTGAAGCCACTTAGCAAATGCGACTTCGTATAATTGATTCGATGCTGAAATAGCCTCATAACGTTTGATTATTTCTGTGATTAAAAATGTTGTTCAAAAATAACTCACCACCTTGTTGTTTATTGAGGTGCCTTCGGTTTAAACAAACTATAAAAGGATAACCTAAGCTTCAGAATAATCATTTTAGTGAAACGCACCACTGAACACAATTATTGTTATTTTAACTTTTTTTGTCATATAGCCAGCTGTTGAATGAGGTTGACAAAGATTTTGGCACTGCAAACCGTAGCGTTGAAGTAGTTTCTAAATTCCTTCTCGGTCTACTCTGTCTGTCGAAGGCCTTCTTGAAGTCGATGAAGTTGAGGTAGAGGTTTGACAGCCATTCTATGCTATGACAATGATGATGCGTAGAGTTACGATTTGATCAGCACATGACTTGTCCTTCCTGAAACCAGCTAGTTCCAAATTGTGTAGTTCTGTATCCAGTGTGTCTTTTCTTCTCTCCAAAATGATGCGACTTAGTATTTTACTTGTCATGAACAAGAGCATTATTATACGCCAGCTCTTCCAGAGGCGTGAGTCGCCCTTCTTTGGCAGCTTTGCTTCCAGTCGGTGGGAACCTATCCTTCTTTCCAAACCTTTTGCAATGATGGCGTGAGAACATCAGCCGCAGTTTCTAGGTCCGTTTTCAGTCATTCGGAGATAATTCTGTCTCGTCCCGCTGCCTTCCCATACTTCCGCAGCCTGCTGGCATTCGGGATTTTTGCTTTCGTTGGAGGATTGGTGTCCACTGGCAGGCCATCCTGTGCGTGCTGTTGATGGTGGTGATATATGTGGGCAAGTTGCAGGTGTTGGTAGATTTAAGAGTCCTTTAAAGTGACCAGCCCTCTGTTTTATTTACTTTTCCTCCTTGGTGATCAGGTTCCCTTGAGCATCCTTTGTCGGTTTCATCATCTGGGTTGATCCCTTCCTGAATAGAGACCTAGTTATCTGAAATAATATCCTGAGGTCTCTTCTACCTGCGGCCTGTTCAGCTTTAGTTGCCGGCCAGTGTATTGTAGAATTGTCTTTTGTATTTCCTAGCACTCTTCTTCTTCACTTCTTTATTCAGTTCAGTGTACATTGAATTCAGCTGCTCCTTCTTCTGTTGTCCATCTTTGCATTCAGTCATCTTCTCTTTCACCATCTTCCTCACCTCGCCTCTGTGAGCCTCCAGGTATCTTTTGATAGCCATTCCTTGTCGTGTCCGTTCTTTCTCCCCAAATCAGTTGTACACGTTTCCTTGAATATCGCCTTCAGAGAGTTTATTCCAATGTTCTCTCACGCAGGTTCCCTCAATTATTTCATGGAATATATCCTACTTTGCTCTAATCTGATCCGTAATGAAGTTAGGTATCACTTGTAGTCTTCTCCTTCACTTTTTGAATGCTGAATTTGAATTGCAGTGGCCTGTCTCCATTTGCTTTCAGGGATTTAAGCTTCACGTTTAAGGTTCCGTGAACTGGATTATGGTCTGAGCCCACATCTGCTCCCCTTCTCCACTTTGTGTCCATCAGACTGGCTGCGTCTCAACTTCCTTGAGCAGCGTTGAGATGAAATCGATCTGGTTTGTGGTGTTTCCGTAGGGCAATATTCATGTCACTTTGTGTATATCCTTGTGCTTGTACACGCTGCCTCCGATCACCAAATCATTGAAAGCTCAGAAGTCAACTAAGAGCTCTATGTTTAATGTTGAAGTATATATCATTAGTAATTAAGGCAATTTACTAGTGGCAGCAACACAGTCATATTACTGAAGTGGTGTACGATAAATTAATATAGACCACTGGAATGATACACTGGCTTACTTAAATAATGTCTTTCGGTAGTATTAAGCGTGAAGCATTACTGAACCATGACTCACTGGAGGTCGAACCCAGGACTTTAATTTTACTAGGCGAGCATGTTATCATTCAACCGGTGAAAAAGGATCTAATGACCGATGAACTCGAACTACTGCCAATTTCCTATATATACATATATATATATATATATATATATATACGTATGTATACCGTTCACCCGCTGATCAACACTTGAAAATTCATTCTAAGTAGTTCAGTAATTAGGAAAGATAAGCTTTTCAAAGTTTTAACTAGAATATGTTTCATATGTTGTTAACCTTTAGGGATTTCTATTACGACCTTATTTTTATAAAATGAAAATTTATCCAATCTATTCTGTTTTAATTTTAGCTGCCGTCCCGAGATTAATGAAAAGTTTCTGCATTCCCCTAGCTCGAACGATGTTTTCAATCTGCACTCCTCCAAGTAAACAAGGTAAATAAGTCCCACTCCCTTTAACTATGCAATTAGTTCTTTACAATTTTCAAAACAAAGCCGTTGAGAACCCAATAATTGAAGAGAACATTATTCAATTCCTTTTAGGCCAGCTTATAACCACAATTTGAAGTACACAAAAAGTACTGATACATTTCGAATTCCCTGTAAAAATACTCGTTGCATTTAAAACCAAAGTAGATTAAGCCATAATATTATAGTGATATTAAACGAAGGGTTAGAAAAGTAAGACATACAGTCATAACTCTAAAATTAGTGTAGAAATCGACTGTACTTAACGTAAGGAACAAGATCCGAACTTTCAACACGGGTGTCAAATTAGTCTGTGCTTCTATGTGATTCAGAGACTTGGCGTTACCAAAAGCATTTCCAACTAGCTACTGCAGACTGCTGTCAACAGCTGTCTTCGCTGGCTCGATACTGAAGATCACATGGCAAGAAAGTGTAGGTGACAAGAAACCCCGGCGACAAACCAACCGTGAACTTTTTCTCCAATCAATATCCAGGAGCAAAAGGAAGATTGAGTGGACAAAAACAGAGGGAAGCGTCGAGTTACGTCTTCTGCAGGGTCTCCGAGTGGAACCCGAAAGGGAAATGATGAGGGGATCATTCGAGGGTTATGTGGGGGAGATAGTGTGACTAGGAGGTGCCAGCCCAGAGGGACCACAGAAGAAAGAAAAAGACGACGATGTCCTGCTGAAGTCCCAAATCCCACTCAGAACCCGAGAGAATTATACTAATACTGTTTGATTCATTTAGGCTTTGAATAATAGCCGACAAACTGGAAATGAATTTATTAGTATTCATTCATATAAGTTAAACGATTTTCATATTTTCACAAAATCCTTTTATGATTACGTATTGTAGGCATGATCCAGTCAGTTGGGGCATTTGTTTCTCGAATCGGTTTTCTGATTAGCCTGACAGTACTTCCTGCTATATATGCGGCAACTGTGTTAACATTCCCGGAAACTGTGTTTATTGTTGTGGTGATTTTGATTGCAATAACGCTTATTATTGACCTGTAAGTGCCGCAAGAAAATAATTGTTTTTTTTTTCTGAAAAAAGCTCAAACAACTGAAGCATATATACAAATAAGTAGATAAAGAAGTCATCTTAGTTATGTTAAATTCAATAATGATTGACAAAATATTGTGATACGCATTGATAAGATTCAGAAACTAAGTACACATTAACCATTCAGCAGATAACATCTTTGCAGTCATTTGCGATTTGATTCCAGTCAACTGACTACGCAGAAATCAACTACGAAGTAATACAAGAAGTTTCTTGCTATCTTCAGTTTCAAAGAGCTTAAAGGAGTCGTTAACAAATCTTGTGCTGTTACGCAACTACCTGAATTTCATTTGCAGTTAGGCTGAAATGTTAGTTCCAGTGACAGAATATTTTTATACACTTGTACTTAAATTGATTAAAAGTCTCCGATATGGTAAAATCAGCATATAAACATATAAATGTATATATGTACATATATACAACCAATCAATGATTTGTAACTATTTCCAATAGGTTTACGAATCTTTTTGGGACTGAAGTGAAACTTTGAATATAACTAGATTTCGAAAATCATTCAATATTTCGAATGTCTTATATTTCCACCAATGAAATCATAGCAGAATAAAAGGCTCTGTAAAAATATTCTGTGGATAAGTTATGCATACTAACAGGTACAATCTCTTTTAGATTTCACTCAGATGGCTAAAACATAAGATTTGAAAAATACAATCGTTACTACCACAAAACTATGTTTATTTTAAAAAATGTTTGTTATATTGGCCTTTTATTTCAAATCCACAAGGATATACACTAACTGAAATTCCTACTTATATAGAAGTTTTACGTAATCCTAGATGACATCATTTTATGATGAATTTTACCTCTGAGATTGGTTAAACTTGCATAATGCCAGCAAACCGTACTGTACAAACTAGTGTTAGTACTTCATGTCTCAACGTCTCACATCTGTGACTTCAAAACGACCACAGAATCTAACTAAATACAGTTAGAATTTACTGACTGAATGACATCTGAAATTGGCAGCAATTCTTGGGAATTTGAAAAGCAGCCTATTTAGAATAAATGAAGCAAACACTATTACAACAGAATAGATGTCTTATGAAGACCAAATAAAACTTTAATGTTTGATGGTGTCTCTTCCCTTAAGGATTCACCAACCTATGTCCGTTTTTATTCCACACATATATATTTCATCAGTTAGCTTCACCTAAACTTCTCTTTATTGTTTTTTAAATAGGTGCATCCCAATTGTGATTAAAAGGGAGAATGCCAAACTGAAAGCTGCTTCATAGTGTAAGAAAGAAAAATCAACTGAATAAATTTTATTGAAACTGTGCTCTCCAACTACAGAACATTGTCCACTACGATAAATGCATTAGATATACAGAATTCAAATACAATTCCCTCTCTGCTGTTCATTACAGATTTCCTAGAAAAAATGAAAGTAATTTTTTGAATAAAAATCTTCCTGTTTAAAGTTAACTTTTAAGCGAATTAAAACACCTTTCTTCTCATGACAAGATCAGGAGGTGATAACCAATATGGGCACCAATGGTAAAGTTGCATGTAGATTTTTTTGACATCAATTATCTATAGATTATTTTAAAAACTAAAATTCGTCAAACTTAATTAAGGTTGTACGAAAAGAGAATATACTAATGTTAACTATGAATCTGAATTTCACGTCACCTATCAAATGAATATTTCCAAGGTTTAGCAACCCACAGATTTTTATTGATATCGAAAGAAGATTATTAGCACATTTCTGCGAAGTAACTTTATGCTGTAAGCGTGGAATGACATCAGTATACAGACTAAGACTTTTCAGGAACTACCTAAGACATTTGTTAAAAAATGAAATATTTTGGTAGTTTTGATGATATTTTTCTGAATTAAACTTTAAATTACCAAGTGTATTCAACGATGTCGAAATTATGATGATTAAAATAAAGTGATATAAGGAATAATTCAGGTCATCTGTACCATTTAAGGAAAATCAAAATGTCATTTCTAAATGTGTGGAGCAAGCGAATGTATCTTATCTAGCTCAGTTTAAGATATTTACATGTATTGCTTATTGTCAAGACTGTATTTTCAGAGTCCCAGCCGATAACTGCTACCTTGCCGTGGTAGTCGGGCTTGAATACCGCAGTGACCCAACAAGCTAAACTGGCTGGGACTCATGTCCCTGCAGGTCCTACCATGCCAGGAAGGCTGTTTGGATAGCAGTTAGACTAAAAGCAGTTACCATGGGGCACATGGGCTCCAGAATCCAACAGGACCAAATGGCGTACGAACCCATATAGGTCACCGGCAACCATGGGAACGCAGAACCTAACGCTGCTCCGCTGCCTTGCGGATTAGACTCCAAGTCAAAGGCTCGGGGGGTGGTCCCTTAAGAAAACCACCTGCTTCGGTCTGGGCGCCCGGGCAGTATCTCAGCCCTCACACAATAAATGAAATGAAGCGACAGACTATTATTGAAACTCACCGCGTGCTCGTAAAAATGATTCCAAGAAATAATGATACATCAAGCAACTTATGCCCTTCTAACCTTAATTTTATTTTTATACTTAATTTCCTGTATTTTACCTTTGCTCACCTTGATATAAGAATAAAACTTGGGCACTGTGGTAGAGTGTAATTCCATTATGGGTAAATTTTATTTTGATAGAGTCTCACAGTGTTATACAGTAATATTTACAGTAAATATTACTGTATAACACTGTGAGACTCTATCAAAATAAAATTTACCCATAATGGAAGTTTGCTCACCTTGACTTCTTAACCTTCGACAGCCTTTCGCCTTTGTTTGGATTCCTAGCCTATCTGTGTCGTTTCGAGATGTTAGTGAGTAACCTTCGAAATGGCTGTCCCCAATGTGACATCTAACACAGACATCCTGAAACCGCGTGCCGCGTTCAAGCTGGCCACCTACAATGTTCGGACGCTGATGCAAATCGGACAACAGGCAGGGTTGGTAAGGACGTTGGAAAGCCTCGCTATCGATGTCTGCTGCATTTCGGAGACTCGCATTCAAGATCCCAGTGAAGTACTTTGATTATCCTCTCCATCTGGAAGTTCTAGTAATATGTACCACCTGCGCTTATCCGGGGACCCTGTGGCGTCGGCATCCGGCGTAGCTGGTGTCGGCGTCGCACTGAGCGTTAGAGCCGAATCTGCACTACTCGACTGGATTCCCATTAACAGTTGTTTATATGCTGTGGGGCTGGAAGGTTATACGAAAGTAGTAGGCCAGATAGGCGGTGTCTATTTGTTGTCTCTGCCTATGCACCAACGGACTGCAGCCCGGATGCAATGAAGGACGAGTTCTACCACCAACTTAGCGATCTCTTGAGACAGGCGGGTTGGAGGGATATCGTAGTGCTGGCTGGGGACTTGAATGCACAGGTCGGTCGTCTGAGCTCAGAGGAGAATCGTCTAGGTGGTCAATGGGGACTACATGGTCGTAGGTCAGATAATGGGACCGTCTTCTGCAGCTTTGCGCGGATCACAACCTATTTCTGGCCAGCACCAACCTCCGGCACAACCATCGCCGTAGCGCTACCTGGCGTCCTCCCTCTGCGAACCAAGCTTGGACTCAGATCGATCACATAGCTGTCAGTTTCCGGTGGCGAGGATGCATACAAGACTGTCGCTCCTTCTGGAGCACATGCCTGGACTCCGATCATGCGTTAGTGTGTGCCAAGTTCGTCTTGCGACTTGGTGGGGTTCATAAAAGGCGTCGTCTAAACGTTGATGTGAGCATACTAGTAGCACCTGCTACTTGTTTGAAATATCAGAATGAGTTACAATCAATGCTTGCCAGCAACACCCCAAGTAGTATAGATGAACATTGGCTCCATCTGCAAGGTGCCATGCAAAGAGCTAGTGTAGCCGCTTGCGGCTTGAAAGAATGCTTCGCCAAAAACCACTGGGTTTCTGAGAGCTCCTTGCAACTCCTGGATGAACGCCGGTCCATTCCGGCTGGCAGCGAATACAGTAATAAGCGAAAGGCGCTGACGCGCAAGATAAGACAGTGTTTACGTAAGGACCGCGTAGTCTGGTGGTCAGAAAGTGCGTGTGAGATGGAGTCAGCTGCTGCATCTGGCAACAGTCGGAAGCTGTTCCAACTCATCCGAGCCACCGGCAGGAAGAAACAAGGTGTCAGCGAGACGGTCTGTGAGGCAGATGGTACGCGAATTACCAGCTTGAAAAGACGCCTGGAACGCTGGGCGGAGCACTTCGGGAAACAGTTTAGCTGGCCACCAGCTTCAATGTCTGCTGTCATTAGCCCCAGTGCTCCTTGGTCGGTTAATACCGACCCACCCACCGAAGCGGAGGTCCGTAAGGAACTCCAAGTGTTAAAACGCCATGAGGCGCCCGGCCCAGACAATTTACCCCCGGCTCTTTTTAAAGATGGTGGCGAGACTCTTACAATGGCTCTAACTGGGTTGTTCAGGAAGGTGTGGGAAACTGAGAGTGTACCATCAATGTGCAACGAAGCCATTATCGTCCCCATCTTTAAAAAGGGTCGACGTAATTCGTGTGACAATCATAGGGGTATCAGTCTGCTACCAGTCGCGTCTAAATTATTGGCTTCTGTCTTGCTTCGCAGGCTGTGCAAAATACGTGAAGGATTGATTCGCGAAGAGCAGGCTGGGTTTCGTTCAGGTCGTGGATGCATTGATCATGTGTTCACCCTTCGTCAGTTGTTGGAACACCGCCACACGTATTGCAGGCCAACGATCGCTGTGTTTCTTGATATTAGGGCTGCCTTCGATTCGTTGGACAGAACTGTGCTCTGAAACTGTCTGTTAGAGAGAAGTGTACTTGAGTAATTTGTTAACATCTTGAAAGCCCTATACAGAAACACTTCAGGTAGAGTGAGGGCATACAACCAACTATCACCACTGTTCCCAACCAACAGTGGGGTTAGACAGGGTTGCCCAATCTCTCCATTTCTCTTTAACTTTGCCATCGATGACATTCTGGAGTCAGCTCTGAAGGATGTGTGTGAAGGTGGTGTAGATCTGCTACCTGGAGATAGACTTTTCGACCTCGAGTATGCAGACGATATCGTCTTACTGTGCGATAGCATGCAGGCTGCCCAAATCGCACTTAATCAGTTGGCGATCAGTGTCTGTAAGTATGGTATGTGCTTTGCACCGTCTAAGTGCAAAGTACTGTTACAAGATTGGCAGGAGCCTGTACCTGCACTCACTCTCGCGGGTGAACCGCTTGAAGTTGTTGATAAATTTGTGTACCTAGGTAGTTGTGTGAGTGCTGGCGGAGGTGTGACGGATGAGATTTCCAACCGTATAATGAAGGCTAGGGTGGCATACATCAGCTTGAGTCACCTCTGGCGCCGTCACGACGTTAGCCTGGCTGTCAAAGGTCGGGTATACAATGCTTCGGTGCGGGCTGTCTTGCTCTACGCCTGTGAAACCTGGCCTCTCCGAGCTGAGGATGTGCGGCGATTCTGAGCACTCGACTATCGCTGTCTCCTCAGGATTGCTTGCGTTCGATGGCATCATCGTGTGAGCAATTCTGAGGTTCGGCGGCGTGTGTATGAACACAGTGGAGATCACCATTCACTGAGTGTCGTCATCTGGAAACACCAGCTCCAGTGGCTTGCACGTGTGCTGCGAATGTCATCCCAGAGGCTTCCATACAGATCTCTGTTCGCTAGCCCTGGGACGGGATGGAAAAGGCGGAGAGGTGGTCAGTCCATGACGTGGCGTCGTGGGATGAAGGATATTTGTGCTAGATTAGCATCGGTTGGTGCGTCACGACTCCCTGGTTGGGGTCCGTGAGATAGCTCAAATCGATGGCTCGAAACGTTATCGGATATGGCCAAGAATCGTAATCAATGGCGAACGTGTTGCAATTTCCTTCTTTCTTCCCTTCCCGATGACAGTTGACGAATACTGTTTGAACTTGTTAAGTATGACTGTTTTCCTCCCAGATGAAGTTTTTTATCCGTTTTCTACTTATATTTTTACTTTTAATCTATGTTGTTTTTATTATTATTGTGTGGCGCATCTTTCTTGGTGCCATATTGTACCAAGTTTTTCTGCGTTTAAATAAAATAAAAAAATAATTTTCAGAGTACCACTCTGAATTAGCTACATTATAGGGTAAAAATTACGCATAGATGTACAACATTAAGACCGGAATGTAGTAAACTAATCACGTAATGAAAAAGAAGTCATGAGTGTTTGAATAAGTATAGTCATATGACTGCTGCTGCCAAGTAGTGGTTTAAAATGACTAAGTCAGGTAAACCACTTGGTCAACGACAAAGTAGCACAGCTGGTATATAGTGGCACTACAGAACAACAAAAAGTAACCAGTACTATGTCTTAGTGGAATCATGCACATAAGATTTTTAGAATTAAAATGGAGAAGACGAAATTTCACATCTAGGAAGTACTAGAAAACTCTGCATGCCATCAAATAAAGTGAAGAAATAAACAGATTATCTGACATATATTTAGTAGATATGCAACGAATAAAGATGTTACCATCTGCACAATGTACAAT